CAAACACAGTTTTAAAACTATCATAAATTAGGATGCTTTTGTCATATCCTCCAAACCACATTTTTGTAATTTTTGTTATAACTGTTGGGAAACAATTGAAGACAACAAATGTGTTTATGGACAATTATAATATATGTTATAAATATATATGTAATCATCATATATTTCATAATTCATAATTTATTATTTTAAATAATTACTTTATTTTATTTTTGTCTTTAAACTGCTATTCATTGGCTAGTTCCCATTTTGGCATGTTGTCACAAAAGTGCTTTTAAAATCTAAGCTATTGGGTCTTTAAGTGGTTTAAAGTAGTGCAGTGCAAATTAAAATTGTGTTGCCGTACTTTTCCAGTCTGTGTTGGAATTATGCACACATTTTACAAAAATACATGGCTACTTTGAATGGCTGACAAAAGAGAGAGAGATGGAGAAAGATGATTTTTTGGAACCAGATGTTATAGTGACAACATCTTTCAGCAGGCCTTGTGTTACAGTAGATCTAATTTTACACTATTTGTAGTTTCGATGCTATCAGGCATCAACTGTGAACTGGTGTGTCAACCCATGTGGTGTAGAGCAGCCACAGCGCGGGATCCCTGGGAGAATGATCAAGCAGACACAAGAGCCAGTGTACTACCGTTTCATTCTCAAGTTTATTAAGGACGATGGGTCATATTTATACCACAGATTCATACAGCAACATACACAATGTCCTGAACGTCCAATCAAAGTACTCAAGAAGTGTGCGTGTGTGTGCTTAGTCCCTGTTTTTCATGCGGGTGTACCAGTGTGCCCAAGGTCTAGTTCTTGTTTTGTGTAGGTGTGTCCGTGATGGGCACATAACAAAAGGGCAGTCAAAAGTGAAGCCCAATAAATAAGAAATATTAACACCTTGCAACCAGCCAAACTTGACTGCTTGGTATCACCTGGAGAAGCATGGTGTGCATGTGATGAGTTTGTTTCACCCTTGACCTTTGTAGATGGTGGAATGGAAATGGGAGGGCTTACCAGTCGCAGACAATCCGAATGTCAGGAACCTTTGACCCCAGAACCCATGGACAATCTGCCACAAAGGAGGAAAAAGAAGAAGAAAGCACAAGCAATTGGTAGAAACAGTGTTCAATAGCATGTCCTGTTCACTTCGACTCGTCTGATATCTGTAGAGGTGGGGTTTCATTAACATAGACACCCCAGAAATAATGCTGATTTGCTCCTATTGGTCAGATGTGGAGGGAGATCAGAGAGACCTGGTTTCAAACGGAGATATGGTGGATCAGAATGTCGATGAAGAGGTGGCGAGACCAAAAAAGAGGAAGTAAGTATATTTTTTTTACCTTAAACTGGTTATGTAACTTTTATATGAAAGCTCTATTGATTTTAATATGTCATTCAACTAACACTTTCTATTTCTTTCTTTCTCCAGAGTGAAACCTAAAGTAACAGAAACACAGTCCAACGATGAACTGGACATAGAGGATGATGACATCATCACAGACCCCCAGGAGCCTGTCCCCCAGCATTCCTTGTTCTCTGCTCCCCAAGGGCAGAGTCAGCCTGTGGGGAAGGTGTTTGTGGAGAGAAGCCGTAAGTTTCAAGCAGGATATTGTGTAGATGTTGTGCAGACTGTTTGCTAGTTCATAAACTGCAACTTTTGACATCTAAACATTTAAAGGGGTCATATGATGCGATTTCAATTTTTCCTTTCTCTTTGAAGTGTTACAAGCTCTTGGTGCATGAAGAAGATCTGTAAAGTTGCAAAGACTAAAGTCTCAAATCCAAAGAGATATTCTTTATAAAAGTTAAGAATCAACCACGCCTACCTAAAACGGCTCGTTCTAACACGCCCCCACGTCTACGTCACTATGTGTTAAGATTTGCATAATGGCGCCCAAATGTTCACGCAAAGAAAGAAGGCGTAACTTTGATTCTCGCTGTACTATTGTTGTTGTCGCCGCCGCCATGTCGTGAAGGCGCTGTGTGTTTCGTTGTGAAAGCGAAACTACTTTGTTTGGCCTTACAAAAGAGGATGATATCTGCTTCGTCATGCCTGGAGCTGATCCGTGCTGGTTGCTGAGGAAATACATCAACTTCGTGCAGTGGATCGCCGGATCGGCTTTCAACCTTGGACGAAGCGGAGTCCAGCCCAGGGTCGTCACGTGTGGTTGCCGCAAGCCCGCCGGCCACCGCTCACTCAAGCCCGCCGTGTGTGACGCTGTGTGTTTTGTTGTGAAAGCGAAACTACTTTGTTTGGAGCAGCATCATATGACCCCTTTAAGTATTTCTAAGGGGAAGTTGTTTGTATGCAAGTTGCTCTTTACATCATGAAATGAAGGTGGAGTGACCATGTATCTTTGGTGGCAGGTCGTTTTCAAGCAGCTGAGCGAGTGGACCAGTGGAAGGCCAGTGGCCCGATGGAGCAGAGTTTTATGGACATCCGCTCAATGTGGACCACTAGAGATGTCTCCTTGAGAGTCCACAGCGGCTTCAGGTGTGCTTTAAACATCTGGTTTTAAATGACACTTTATTTTCCAATAAATCTGCAAAACTGCTTTCGACTTCAACTTAAATGGGTCGTTCTATACATAAGGTGCCTTCTTGACTGGAAAAAGTTGAGAGATCTGATTTTTTTAATAAATCAATATGAATGAGAATAATGATAATGGAACGTGGCATAACAGGGTGGGAACAAGAGAAGGTTTCTTTAAAAATAAATGACATTACTTCCATAGTATACATAAAAAAAAGATTTATATACAAAATAATGCATTTTAATAAGATTCTGACCTATTCTAGTCTAAAGGAGCTGAACCTATCAGGGTTCAGACAAAGTTTAAAGGCCAAACTTTAGTTTTGTGATGTTGTGCTTGTTCAGTGGCTGACTTTCTATTCAAGACCCATGTCACATATTTTGGTTTTTAAATGTATTTTCCCATATAATTCGGCCTCCAGAGGCTATAGATTGTGTCAGACAAGCAGGCTATGGTGAAAAAAAGATTAAAAAGATCATAAATCAAGAAGAGTTTAAAAGCTTCTTACTAATTGTTTCCTAATTGAATTTCCCTCAAATGTTGATGATGTTATAGTTGGAGAAGTTAATGTTTTATAGTCAGCGGTTAGTATTTATGAACATATTATATACCAATTAACACAAAAGATTTTGTGTTGGTGTAAATACACTACCGTTCAAAAGTTTGGAGATTTTTAAAATGCTTTTGAAACAAGTTTCTTATGCTCACCAAGGCTGCATTTATTTGATATAGTACAGTACAAGTAAATTATTACAATTTAAAAGAACTGTTTTCTATTTTAATATATCTTGAAATGTAATTTATTCTTGTTATGGCAAAGCTGAATTTTTAGCAGCCATTACTCCAGTGTCACATGATCCCTCAGAAATCATTCTAATATGCTGATTTGGTGCTCAAGGAATTATTATTATCAGTTGAAAACGGTTGTGCTGCTTACTATTTTTGTTGAAACTGCGAGACTTTTTTTTTTTCAGGATTCTTTGTTGAACAGAGTTCACAAAAACAGAACTTTGTTTTTTAAATAAAATGTTTTTGTAACATTCTAAATGTCTTTAACGTCACCTTTGATCAATGCATCCTTGCTGAGTAAAATAATTCATTTTTCTTTCAAAAATAATCACACTGACATCCAAATGCTAGTGGAAAGACTTTTTTCTAAACCCTGACTGTTGTTACTGCACAGGGTGATTGGCCTGTTTTCTCATGGCTTCCTGGCTGGTTATGCTGTGTGGAATATCATTGTGGTCTATGTTTTGGCTGGGGAACAGATCTCTTCCCAGCACTCTTCCCAACCTACTGCAGCAATATCACACCCTGGCCTACCCCGCACAGTCCCTACTCTACCTGCTGCTGGCCCTCAGCACTGTTTCTGCCTTCGACAGGTGAATCGCCAAACCATAATGCCCATTCACTTGGACTAATAGAAACAAAAGTAGAGTAAACACAGTAGCCACAAGTATTTGTAGATGCTTGAACCCTTGAGATGAAACTAGTGTTTGTTCTCTCTCCTAACAGGTTGAATCTTGCCAAAGCTGCTACAGCCATGAGGAGTTTAGTGACTCTCAGTCCTGTGGCGCTTGCCACGCCCTGTGAGTTTATCACGTTTCTTTAAAAAAAAAAAGGATTACAGAAGCCAAATATGAAAACAGCAATGTTTTAATATACACCTTTTCTTTTTCAGTGTACTTTTCTGCCCTTGTTTTATCATTAAGCCAGCAGATGACGAGTGATCGCATCAATCTCTATAATCAGTACTCCAGCTATAATGTGACACTCTGGTAAGAGCCCTCTCATTAGAGCATGCTGGGTAAATACTGTACAGTAATAAGAGCCGAGCGGTTGTTGTGTCTCCTCACAGGCAGCCGGGCTCAGAGCGCAGCATCCTTCACCCCTGGATCATAGTAAACCTGGTGGTCACTTTGCTGGTCGGGCTGGCCTGGGTTCTGATGTCAACAAGTCCAGATATCGACCACACAGAAGGTAAATGCTACAGGATGTTGAAGCTCAGAGAGCAGTCTTCTGTTCACGTACCAACATCTTATCCGGTGGTTTGAACGGTAGTGGACTGTGTATATTGCACATTTTGTAAAAAAAAAAAAAAATTGTAGGTACATAACATACAGTATTCATCCTGAAAACAGCTTAAAGTTAGAAATTAAACTTGCATTAATATTACATGCATGTTTTTTCCCCTCTGTAGAGTTTTTAATGTCGATGGAAATGGAATATCCAAAAGCAGAAGAGAAGGGAAACATCACTGCATAAGGCACCTACAGGCAGTTTTTTCTACTATATTTTGATACGTTGTTGTAGATATATATATATACACACACATATACACACATATACACACACATACATATATACACACACACACATACATATACATACATATATTAGAAATGCCAAACACTTGCCTATTGTAAGGTCTTAGCAATAAAAAAATTTAAGTAAACCATTCTTTTGTCTGATTTATACAAGTGATCGCTCAAGAGGCCACATTTTTTTGTCATTTTATTAACGTCACACTGGAGCGGGCTGAGGGTGAGGTTTGGCCCGCTGTATTAAAACAAGCCCACAGACACCAAATACAGTGAGAGCTCCTGCCACCCATAATCCATAATCCAATATCTGCGGGACTAGAAGAGGCAAACATTTCCAGGTCGAAGATAGTTGCATGGGTCATTCACTATATGAATGTTAACAAATAACACAGTGAGTTCATACCTTCCTTATCAGCAAGATTTGCCTCAGAAACCGGCAAATGGGATAGAAGTATAACCTCCCCACTCGAAACTACAACGGTTTCCTCACAATCCTTCAAGTCTTCTGAAATGGACCTTCCTAAATGCCAGGAAAATAAAAAAATGTTTATTAAATAATGTCATAATCAATAATAATAATAATATTATTATTATTATTGATTATGACATTATTTAATAAACATTTTTTTATTTTCCTGGCATTTAGGAAGGTCCATTTCAGAAGACTTGAAGGATTGTGAGGAAACCGTTGTAGTTTCGAGTGGGGAGGTTATATTATTATTATCATTATTCAATTATTGTAATTATTGAAAATGTGCATTTATTAAATAATATAATAATAATAATAATAATAATTATTATTATTATTATTATTATTCAATTTAATAAATGCACATTTTCAATAATTACAATAATTGAATAATGAATGCATATTGGTTGAATAATAATAGTTTAATTAATAATTTAACAGTTAATTTTGTTTTTGATCATGATTAATATTTATTATTAAATGTTAAATGATTGTAATTAATTGATGATTATTATTACAGTTGTTATTTTTTATTATTATTATGATTAATTAATAATAAACTACAACCAATATGTATTATTAATAAATATCATGATAATAATACTGAATACATATTTGTTAATAATAATAATTATTATTATTAACAATTAATTAATGAATTAAAAACATAATAATACCATAACAGTAGTTCAGTAGTCATTCGAAGCTGTTTTTGTAATTATTGAAAATGTGCGTTTATTAAATAATATAATAATAATAATTATTAATATTATTATTATTATTATTATTATTCAACCGATATGCATTATTATTCATAAATATTAAGAAATAATAATAAAAGTTATTAATATTGCTTATAATAATTATTATATTACTATTATTATTATTATCATCATCTCTTAATATTTATGAATAATAATGCATATTGATTGAATAATAATAGTTTTCCATTAATAATTTAACAGTTAACAATGTTGTTTTTGATCATTATTAATATTTATTATTAAATGTTAAATTATTGTAATAAATTTATGATTATTCTTACATTTGTCATTTTTTATTATGATTAATTAATAATAAACGACAACCAATATGTACCGTATTATTAATAAATATCATGATAATAATAATAATAATACATATTTGTTAATAATAATAATAATGATTATTATTATTATTATTATTATCATTATTCAATTATTGTAATTATTGAAAATGTGCATTTATTAAATAATAATAATTATTAATATTATTATTCAACCAATATGCATTATTATTCATAAATATTAAGAAATAATAATAATAATAGTTTTTAATATTGCTTCTAATAATAATAATATTACTATTATTATTATTTCTTAATATTTATGAATAATAATGCATATTGGTTGAATAATAATAATGGTTGATATAATTGTTATTATTAGTAGCAATATTAATAACTATTATTATTATCATTCACCACAATATCTTGAATCAATAGGTGTACTCACTTGTCCTGCTGCCACAGCTGGGCTCACATGACTCAGTGGTGGAGGGGTGGCAAACAGACGTAGTGCAGTGAATAAAAATCTGGTAAAGACATGGCAGAGGTAAATAAGTGAGAGCGAAGGAGAAATGTGGTGGGCAAGACAGTACATACCCTTTTCTGCAGAGGCACAAGCGAGGACTGATCTACAAAAGTGAACATCTTCACAACAAAGTGTTTGTAATGAGATGGGTACTGCAGTCCTGAGTGTCCAACAGCAAGCATTATGGTCAGGTGATGGTCAACCTTATATGGACAGCTATGAAGAGTAATAAGAAAACCAGTGATTTGCATAATTTGAGGCTGTTGTTTTGGAATTGAACAAAATGCCCACATTCCCTTAAACTTATTTAGATAAATTGGGGAAGAGGAGTTGCTATGAAAGAATTCAGGTTTACCCATTTAGCAAAAGGTCCCACTGAGGCAGACTCATGGGTTCAGGATTAGAAGTGACCCAGCAGTGGTCTAGGACCAGGATAAGGTTTGGATCAGTCCTCTCCAGAATCCGCACCTCCACATACACAGGTTCTCTCAACACTTTAGTAACAGGGTAGTCTGCCTCCGAGTAGTACGAGGTGTACATATCCTCTTAAATACACAAAGAGAATACTGAATTAATTAACTGCATCCCGTTGTACAGTGATAGTCATCGACCTGGTAATGAATGAATTCCATATTAGTGGTATTCAAGGTAATTTTACTGTACCCATATTTCAATATTAATAATAATAATAATAAGAAGAAGAAGAAGAAGAAGAAATGTTTCCTGAGCAACAAATCAGCATATTAGAATGATTTCTGAAGGATCATGTGACACTGAAGACTGGAGTAATGATGCCATCACAGGAATAAATTACATTTTAATACATTAAAACAGAAATAAGTTATTTTAATTGTAATAATATTTCCCAATATTACGGTTTCTACTGTATTTTTTGATGAAATGAATGCAGCCTTGGTGTGCATAAAAGACTTTTCAAAAACAAAGCAACCTCATTTAACCTGTATTAAGAAATTACCATTACTTTTGTACCGTGTCCTTGTATTTTAACAAATTTCTGTAATGTTTTGGGTCCTGGAGAACAGTCAAAAACGAATATTTCTAGATTTTTTGGGACCTTGTACTTGTTTGACCATGAACATTTCAGGATGACTTGGCAAAATATGTGCTTGAATGAAATAAAACTCCAGTTTACTAGGTAAGCCACATTTGCAAAACATGACTCTTATTGGTTATGTTGTGAAATTTGAATTTCTGGATTCTGCTCACCATCAGAGCATCCTTTAGTAGTGCACTGTCCATTGGCGAGCCTGAGCTCCACTCTGAGTGGGCCGTTCTGAGAGACAGGGGGAGAAGGAGGAACCGTATTCACCTCCACCACCAGAGCCTCAACTGCTGATCCCGAATACCTGCACTGGAACTTCAGCCTTCAAGACACAGACGGGAAATACTGGGCCCCCTTCCACTGATTGTTACCAAAAACTTTAAAGGTGGGGTATGTATTTTTTCAAAAACGTCGGGCCGAGTACCAAAACAAACTTCAATCAGCCAATCAGCAGTAAGGGGCGTGTCTACTCATGATGTGGCGGAGAGAGCGCCCAGAGCACAGGACGGACATTAGCCGAGCCGGGCTATAACAGAAAGATAGAGATGGCGGATAAAAACCAAAAGAGGAAAAAGTCTGCAGAACAAAAGAAGGCTTACGATAAGGCAAGAAGTAGGACCCGTATCCTTCATAACCCGTAAATATTGGATCAGCTTTCCGCTGGAGAGAACTCGAGGAGCGGAAGGCCTGCGATTGGACGCCGAGGTTGCTTTGTTTCTTCTCGATAGGTGAGTAACACCGTGTATACACTGGACGAGATAAAGCGACCGTTGAAAATCATTTGAAATTTGTGTCAATACGTCATAAATAGAACGCAGCAGCAGTTTTCTGTCGGGGATTTGTCGTGTCGCGCCACATCCAGTGTAGACAGCATCGCTGATTATAATAAGTTCTGTAGTATTTTATCGCGTCGCGCCGCTCGCGTCCGATGTAGACACGGTGTAACATTGGTTTTGCTTTGTTTCACAGAACTAATTGTTGTCTGGGTTGCGTACGTATGTGTGGGGCGGAGCTATCAAAATAGGTGCGAGACCCTTTTGGGGTAGGGGCGTGTTTGTTTTGGTGATTTGAAATATCAACATTGGCTACCAGAAATCACTTACCCCACCTTTAACATAAAAACAGATGAGCCTCCTCACTCATAAGAACTGTCCCTCGTAATTGATCCACGAGGTCCAATGCCCACTTCATACGTGGATGACATCATGTTCTCATAAATAACAAAACCGCTTTCTTCCTGAAGGATATAATGGAGGACAAATAATAGTGACCATAGGGTAAACTAAAACAGTGATGCAACAATGTCATGCTCTTTCTCCCCCATGATTAATAACATGCTCAAAGGCCATGCTCATACCCACCACAGGAGCTAACAGTAAACTGATAGATGGCAAAGCTGGCAGTCCTGCCGACAGAAGCGCAGTGGCCACTGGGGTCATTCTCCAGCATGTGGATGGACTTTAAACTGATGCGTGGCATGGTAGCATCTCGAGCAACCACCAATACAATCTGCCCATCTCTTGTGCACTGCAGAGTAACTGGAACAAACAGGAAAAAATTACTTTAATGTTTTGCACAATTGGAGGTATTATACAGTTACAGCGCTTAAATAATATATTTTTATATTTAATGCATAGTAACCATAGTTTTATTGTGGTATTTGGAGTAAACCTATAGTAATCACTAGAAAATCCATGGATCACAACTCATAACCATGATTAAATCAATGTAGATGGTTTCTATAAATGAAATTATATTTATGAAAAAATTGCCTGAAACACTGCTATAGATGTCAAATGAATTTTCATTCCCACTAGTAGTTTGGAATAATTATGATTATTTGCTGTATTTGAAGGAAATAGCTTATGCTCACAAGGACTGCATTTATTTGATGAAAAATACTATAAAACAGTAATATTGTGAAATTGCAATACATTCCTTTATTTATTTCTCTCTCTTTTTTTAAATAAATGTACTTACTCCAAACATTTGAATGGTAGTGTATCACAGTTTTCACAGAATAAAAAGCAGCAAAAACGGTTTTCAACATTGATAATAATAAGAAATGTTACTTGAGCACCAAATCAGCATATTATAATGATTTCTAAAGGATCACGTGACACTGACGACTGATGAAGTAGCCGCTAAAAAAATAAATAAATTAGCAAGCTTTGATTTTATATTGTAATAATATTTCACAATTATTGCTGTTTTTAAAGCATATAAATCTTTAAAAAAAAAAAATCTTAATTATTCCAAACCTACTGTACGCCAGTTAGGTTTACTCTGTTACTATTACTGTAGTAAAATGATGATTAATGTTTAAAAACATAATAAAAGCACTATGGTAATGCCAATTATAGTTGCACCGTGATATCCTATAAAGCACACACACACACACACACACACACACACACACACACAACGTTACGTACTTTTTCCTGTGTTTCACATATAAAGAGTTCATTACGAGTCTAATTATCATTAGCTCCGCCCCCTTAATTATAAACAAACTCATAATATGATAAAAAACGAGTTAATACTACAGCTTAGTCACACATTTACAATTTTAGAAAAACGACTATTTATAATTAAAATAAACAACTCGTATTACAAAAACACATTAATAAAGGAGGGACACTAATGATTTATATTAACCTGTTTAGGCACATGTGAGTACAAAATAATAATAATGGAAGGTGTGTTGGTTAAAATAAAATCCAGGCTGTACTAAACAGACTTCAAATAAATATCCCTAAACAACAACGCTCTGCGATTGATTGGTTTAGCCTTGTTCACAGGATGTGTAGTTGAGTACCGACCTACAGAGGCGCAGGTTTCTGATGGCCACTGTAGACGTGGATTGTTAGCTACAAGTCCAGTGAACAGTTTGATTACATTTATGACGGTCATTAGACATTTCTGAAAAGCAAATATGCTGGATTTTGCTATATTTGCAGTGACATTTGTCATTATCCTGATCGGTGCCGTGCTGTATTTGTATCCGGTGAAAAATATAAATATTATCTGATCTGTTTTGCAGTTGTTGTGATTATGTTTTATATGAAATATATGTTTGAATCGCTATTAAATATGTTCGGTTTGCCTGTTGCATTTAGAAGATCATCACTGGACTATTGAGTTTACAGTTACTTATTTTTGAGAGAATATGCATTTTCTGTCTCGATAAAAAGCTGGATATATGTAAAAGAAAGTCAGCCATTAAATCTGCTATAATTTGCTATCAAGGGACTTTCATATTTCAAAGATCTGTATATTAACCCGAGGTTTTCTTATTTTAATGGCAGTCATCTAGAAGTGCCTCTGGTGTGCCTGGACTAAACCCCACAGAAGAGAAGTAAGAATTTGAGATACTGTCCTCTCTAATATCTCCTTTTGATCTTTAGTCAGTTTCTCCAACAAACATCGTTCTTTAATACTTTTTCAGAGATGGGAATCTGCAAGATATAGTGAACAAAGGAAGCCTGCATGAGTTCCTGGTGGGTCTTCATGATGAGTTTGGGTCTGTGGCATCTTTCTGGTTCGGTGGGAGACCAGTGGTCAGCCTGGGTGCTGTGGACCAACTACGACAACACATCAACCCCAACTGGACCAGTGAGTAGCCTGCAGCGAGGGAGAGAAAACGTTTGGAAAACCTTCCTTTAAATAAATGAAATGTTAATATTTTATCATAAAATTACATATGATATATGTTATTCATTTGATTCCTCATAAGCTACATTTCAAAAGGTGTGGGGTCAGTAAGATTTTTTTAATGTCTTTGAAAGAAGTCTCTTTTCTCACCCAGGCTGCATTTATTTGCTCACTAATACAGTAAAAGATATAATACTGTGGAATATTGTTTCAATTTAAAACATCTGTTTTAATATATTTTAAAAAGTAATTTATTCCTGTGAAGGCAAAGCTGAATTTTCAGCATCATTACTCCGGTCTCTGTCACATGATTTGGTGCTCAAGAACATTTCTTAATATTTCAATGTTGAAAAAAGTTGTGCTGCTTAATATTTTTCTGGAAACAGAAACCTTTTTGTAACATTATACATGTCATTACTGTCACTTTTGATCATATATATATATATATATATATAAAAACTTTCTAACCCAAACATTTGGATGGTAGTGTATAAAGTAGCATTTATTGCCATACCAAATGTTTTTTTTTAACCTTGATGGAAAAAATACAAATCCCCTTTTATGCATATTATTATGCATGCTTTTTCTAACGCATATGTTTGTACCCTTTCCTCAGCGGATTCCTTTGAGACAATGCTCAAGTCATTGCTGGGTTACCAGTCAGGTTCAGGAGTGGGAATGACAGAATCGATGATAAGAAAAAAAGTGTATGAGGGAGCTATCAATAAAACCCTGGAGAACAACTTCCCTCTATTGCTTCAGGTCTGTTCAGGAGTGTTTATATATATATATATCACTAGTTCAGGATTTCACTATTAGGACCAACAACAAAGTGCTTCTCTTCATTGCATAAATCTAACTGACCCAGTGATATCTGCCTTAAAGTAAAGTTCTTGAATTCTTTTTGATATTAAACCATAGGTGATTTGTTTTTGTTCGTATAATAAACAAAACTGAATATAATGAACAGTCCCTATTTTTAAACATGTTATCCCTCTCTTACAACGCTGCCTTTGTTTTAGCTGGTGGAGGAGCTGGTTGATAAGTGGGCATCTTATCCTAAATCACAGCACACGCCTCTTTGTGCTCATCTGCTTGGATTGGCTATGAAGGCTGTCACGCAACTTGCCATGGGGAGTCGCTTTGGGGATGATGCTGAGATCATTCAGTTCCGTAAGAACCATGAAGCGGTGAGCATTCCTCACTAGTTATATTTAGTGTCATGCTTATGAATATTATTATTATAAAATGTGATATTGTACATGTAAATGCAAATATTTCTGGATTTGAATAGATCTGGTCAGAGATCGGTAAAGGTTATCTGGATGGATCCCTAGAGAAGAGTTCCAGCAGAAAGGCCCATTATGAGAGTGGTAAGAAGGCAGCTGAGCAACGTTTGAAAGTGTTGACCTTATTTTTGATTGTTCAATGTCAATTGATCATGTGGTTTTGTTATTTTCAGCTCTGGCTGAGATGGAGTCAGTGCTGAAGTCTGTGGCAAAGCAGAGGAGTGGACAAGGATCCAGTCAGTCATCTTTTGTTAACTATTTACTACAGGCCAATCTGACAGAGCGACAGGTAGCATCATCTCAACACTGAACGATTCATTTTCAAATTGAGATACTACTATTTATATATTTATGCATGAATTATAAACAAACAGTTATTAAATATGTTTTGCTGTTCCTCAGGTGATGGAAGATGGTATGGTTTTTACTCTAGCTGGCTGTGTGATCACTGCTAACTGTGAGTTTCAATTTCTTCTTTCTAGCTGGCATAGCTTCAATGTTATTTTAGTATTGTATAGTATTATAGTTTTTTATTAACATTAGCTTTTGTTTTTATATTTTACGTTTTGTATTTTTATGGTGTGGCTTTATAATTTTTTATTACTTTTTGTTTATTACTATTTAGCTTTAATTTATTTTTATTCCAGTTTTAGTTAGATTTTTTTTCCAGTTAGTAATGTTAGTGCTTCAACTTAAACTTTTCTAAATGTAGTTTATTTTACTTTTTTCATCTAATAATTCAATTAACAAAAATGTTTTTAATAGTTTTAGTTTTAGTTAATGATAATAACACTGTGTAGCTTTTCTTTTTTTTTTTTACCATCATGTCTGTATTTTTGTTATTCTTATACATAATTTATGCCTGTTCTTATCTGTATTATTTCCCAGTGTGCATCTGGGCAGTTCACTTCCTATCAGTCTCAGAAGCAGTGCAGGAACGTCTCTATCATGAGCTTGTTGAAGTGCTCGGAGAGGAACCTGTTACCTTGGAGAAGATTCCACAACTTAGGTGAGCCCCAGTCATAGCTTGTGATATTATTCTGTTAGTATTATCCATATGGTATTTACATTTATTGATTTAGCAGATGTAAAATCAAGTGACCCAAATGTGAAAAAAGGTTTACATATGACGAAATTAATAGTACTTTTTTTTTCTTTCTTTTTTTAATAATCTTTTTTTTTTAAAGAGCTGTTTTGGTCAAGAGAGATGGGTTTACAGTATGTATATGCTTAAAGGGATAGTTCACCCAAAATTGAAAATTTGATGTTTACCTGCTTACCCCCAGGGCATCCAAGATGTAGGTGACTTTGTTTCTTCAGTAGAACACATATGATGATTTTTAACTTTAACCGTTGCTACACACCTCACGCACCGGATGCCGTGCGCGCGCCCAAAGAAAGTTGGACATAGTGGTGTGTTAGAGATAAAAAATTATATAAATACTGTTCGCTTTCTGGCACAAACCGATCGTTTCGTGTCTTAGGACATCAATGTGTCGTCACGAGCCGCAGGGTTTAATTTGGATTTGTCTGTGCATGTTTTTTTTACTCTCATAGATTTTGTTACCATTGCCATGCATTATACGACTGATAGACTGCAACGGTTAAAGTTAAAAATCATCATATGTGTTCTACTGAAGAAACAAAGTCACCTACATCTTGGATGCCCTGGGGGTAAGCAGATACAAATCAAATTTTCATTTTTGGATGAACTATCCCTTTAAGGGTTTCCAATATTCTCCTGGGTTTACATGTGTAGTGCTTTTTCTTTTCTTTCTACATTCTGGCCACCAGGTGGCATATGTGTGTTAATTCTGTGATTTCCATAAAATACCTTGCGAGTTAAACTTTATTCCACATGGCCATCACTTTGTCTGGAAATCATGATTCTTGTTCACGTTTTCCCCCAGATACTGCCAGCAGGTGCTGAATGAAACGGTCCGCACAGCCAAACTGACGCCCATGGCTGCCAGACTGCAGGAGGTGGAGGGGAAGGTGGACCAACACGTCATTCCCAAAGAAGTAAGAACCTGCCTTTTTCATTACTAGGCCCACACACAAACTTAAAAACGCTCTGCAGGTTTCATTCATTATATCTAGTCTAGTCAATATAGAGAGTGCTGTGACCTATAATGTTAAAAAATAACTCTGGTTGTATGTTTGTAGACATTGGTTATCTATGCCCTGGGTGTGGTCCTTCAAGATGCAGATACTTGGTCACTTCCATACAGGTGTGTTTGTGTGTGTTCATTTTATACAAGGTCGTGTAAGGTTCATGGTTTGCTGGTATTCTCACTGGTTTGTCTTCTTTGACAGGTTTAATCCTGACAGATTTGCTGATGAGTCAGTAATGAAGAGCTTCTCGCTGCTCGGGTTTTCAGGGAGCCAGGCCTGCCCTGAACTAAGGTACAAGGAGAGAAATACAGATATTATCTTAAATAAATAACCATAACAAAGATCACCAAAAAATGTAAAGTTTATCATTTACTCACCCTTGTGTCCTTCCAAACCTGTATGAATTTCGTTTTTCTGTTGAACACAAAAGGAGACGTTTAGAAGAATGTTCAGGCTGCTCTACTTCATACAGCAAAAGTGAATGGGAATGCGGTCAGTCAGACTACAAAAATGACAAAAAGCCCTATAAAAGTAGTCTGTACGAGTCCTATCGATTAGTGATCCTCAACCTTTTTAATTCCAAGACCCTCATTGTCCTCGACAAAATATTTAAAGTCTGTATATGTTAAAGGGTTAGTTCACCCAAAAATGAAAATTCTATCATTAATTACTCACCCTCATGTCGTTTCAAACCCGTAAGACCTTCGTTCATCTTCGGAACACAATGGTGGTTCACCCGTAATTATACGAAGCTACGATAATACTTTTTGTGCGCAAAAGAAAAAAAAAAGACTTTATTCAACAATTCGTCTCCTCCGCATCACCCTGGTGCCATTTTGGAGAATATCCGCTGGACGTAAACAGCGTATGCTGTTCTGTGTCAAGAACTAAATGTTATTCAAGGATCACACTCTTAATGAGCAATTAATGTACACTACTTTTTCAGTCATTTGTGATTACGAGATAAGTTTTTTTACTCATAAATTCCAGTTTTTTAAATCAATCTTGACATAACTAGAAAAAAGTATAATCAGTATAAAAAATAAACAATTTTTATTTATTATTATTATATTTTTTAATTTTCATGACTTTTACAGGTCTAAAAATCACACTTTTAAAATTCCCTATATATCCAGGTCTTCCAAGATTAATGGAAACCCTGGTTCATTCAAAACAAGGTTGTTGAGGGAATTAATTAAAATAAGAAATATTAGCTTGATTTCTTATCTCTGTTTTTGCTTATTTTAAAGCTTGTGTTTGCCTTAATTTAAATCATTCTAAATCATTTTGAAGTGTGCTGAGCCCCCCAAATGGACTCTGGCCCCTGGTTGAGAACCAATGCTATAAACATATAGGAATATATATATATTATTATTGTTTTGTCAAAGAAAAAAATGGGTTTTAATCATCATGAGGTTGAGTAAATGATGACCAGATTTTTCATTATTGGGTAAATTGTTCCTTTAAGAAACATTCAGATGTCACATAGTTCACAAATCTTCTCGCCCCATCCTTTTCTTCCTCTCTTTAGATTTGCATACACTGTGGCCGCAGTGCTGCTCAGCACGCTGGTGCGCAGGTTGAGACTGCACAGAGTGGAAGGGCAGGTGGTTGAGGCCAGGTATGAGCTGGTGACCACACCCAAAGATGACACCTGGATCACAGTCAGCAAGAGGAACTGAAGGACTCATAGCTCACGTCCCTGAAATAGCCTCTTGGGAAATGTGAATTATGCATGGCCAATGTTATGTGCTCTATATTGTGTGGGACAGCAATTGATAAGATCAAAGCAATGTCATTTAGAAATGGTCCAGGTTGTTAAAACTATATGCCACTGTTTTTTTTTAGATGGTCATTCCCTCTGAATGTCACAGACATTCCATAAACGATGATCAACATTGAATCGCAATCTTTTAACTGCAGTCTTTCTGTACTAATAAAATGTGATAAAAAAGTATGCCTCTATCTATCTATCTATCTATCTTGGCCAAATAATGAAACCATTCTGTTGTATAGAGCATTTTTGGGATACAGCAAAAAGACAGAAAGGGGACAGAAAGAGTGACAAATAGAAAGGAACATATAGGGTAGGAGGAAAGAGAATTGTGAATGTGAAAGAGAGGGAGGGGGGTAATGTGATGGTGTTTTCCTCCTGCGTGCATCAGTGAGGGAGAGGGGAGTGTGATGGTGGTGTTTTCCTCCTGCATGCATCAGTAAGATGTGAAGATGGCGGAGCTGCAGATGCTGTTGGAAGAGGAGATTCCTGCTGGTCGAGGAGCTCTGCTGGACAGCTACGCCAACCTCGAGAGAGTCGCCGAGTACTGCGAGAGCAACTACGTACAGGTGACATTACAAAACATTGAAGACATCCTAGACAAGGCCAGATACAGGATGAGAAATGACACGAGAGATAAATGATCCGACTGCTTGTGTTGTCGAGTGACAATGCAGTCGTGCGAACTGAATTCATCGCGTATTATTATTGCTTGTAATTCATACTGGTTTATATTACACTAATTCAACCCTTAACACACTTTATATGCGTTTTGTTGCCTATTTTCAGTGGTTTTGTACAGAAATGGGGCCTCAAACGCTGAGCTAGTAGGCTAACGTGCTAGCCGAAGCGAAACCAATGAGTTAAACCTCAGTTGTATCACATCAAAAGACAGTTTACTTTCCCTCTTTTTAAATTTAGTATGAATTTATTAGTTTTATATGCCTAATTAAAACAGCGTGATATGATTTAAAGTGGTGTATTAATGTGTAATAGCGTTTGTGAATATCTTTTAATCAAAGCAGCGCAGTGTTTTGAAGTTAGCTCTGCTGCTAAATGCTGGGGGCTTATGGACTGTTTGTATTTGATAAATTTGCTTTTTAATGTAATTATCTATTAATGTTAGTGTGTTTACAGGTTTGCTATTATTAGGGTGTTGTTTGTTAGTTTATTGTCGAGAGCGAATGTGTACAGGTTAATAGTTTTCTGTGTGTATTTTGATACTATCGCGTTTAATCATTTGCATTTTCTTAATCGCGAAATTTTACTATAGTATATGTAGGGCAGTGTATTGAGAGAGAGAGGGCTACATATACATGATTAACTGTGGTATCTTTTCATGACAAATATGGTAGTTTTTAAAAATCTGCTTTTTGCCAACAAATACCGTTTGTTTGTTTGTTAGTTATGTTTGTTTAATCATGGTAATGTAGTGTTTGCTTACTATGATATTACACAATTACCATAGTTAAATTAGAGCTACTATGCTAGAACTATGGTAAATGCAGTTTTTCCTGCTAGCATGAGTTTGATGATTCACTCTGGAATCTGTGAAGTGCTTCTGGAACCATAAAATGAATGACTAAATTCGTGTTATTTTCAGCATTCCTGGGGGATCCACAGAAGTGGGTGTGTAAGGATCTGCACTTCTCTGTTTAGTGTTTGTCATCCCTCAGAAATAGAGCATCAGAAATAAAACTTTTGACATTCATTGCTCCAAAAATACAGAGCGTGTCACATGGACCCTGGCAGATCAGTGACTGGATGTCACTGGAAAATGAGTTTTGTTCTCTGTGGATGCTGATTCCAGTACTTTTGAGTCGTGATGTGTTCCTGATAAATATTGCATACTTGACTAGCATTTGCCGGCCTGTTAAAGCTGAAGGGTTAGAGTTTAAGAGTGAGAGCTCACAGTTGTAGAGATGCTAAACAGATTTGACTCGGGGGTCTCAGTTCATATTGTACCTGATTCAGGCTCCGGAATCGTGCAGAGCACACAGTGATGCTATATGAATGCATTTTGTTACGTCATCTGTAAAGAAAGTCTGTTAGTTGTGAGCGAATTGTGAACATTGTATTATTCTCATAGCTTTGCCACAGTAGGTCCAGAAATACCATAAATAGCTTCTTGTGACTGAGCTTGGATTTCTTTCCATGGCAGCATTTAGCTCGGGTTGATATGAGTCTTGCTTGCATGTGGTCTGTGGTCTGGTTTTAGTTTAGTATGTAACCCAATATTTCCCACTTCCTCAATTCATGCATATTGCATACAGATATGTTAGTGAATTCAAGACAGGTTCTCATTCTTGACGGGAGGTTTTTTGCACAAATAAGCCCGGCGATCACATTTGTTTTTTGTTTTGGGAAGGCCATATTAATAGATAATTGTTGCATTATTTTGCACGTGTCATGGTCATATATAGAAAAGTTGCATTTGTAAGAAACATTAGTGCGTTTTGGACCTCTAGTGTTTTATTGAATGAAATGGGGTCTGATGTTTTCCTCAAAGCGTTAATGACAAAAGAAGGTTTTTATCTCAAGCTGACTCCCACTCTTCTTCAGTGGAACACAAAATGGCTAAATGTCCATATATTAAAAATGGAGAAGATGAAAGTTTTGCGGCCATTCCGTACATAAAGCTTTCATATGGCTGTTGAAGACCTGAAATATAGTGTACAGACTAGGGTTGTACCGGTAGATGATAGTATCGTGTATCGACAATAGTTAAAGATATTGCCTGTTGCCATTGATGATATAAAGACAATAATAATAATTATTATCAGGCTAGAATTATTATCTAATTACTATTAGGGCTTATTTGTTCCATCATATTTATTTTCCCGCGGTTTTAGAGTGTTGTGCGTTATAACCAATCACACACGATTCCGTTGAGTTTCTGAATGCATTGGCCAATCAGAAGCATTCAGATGAGTCATTGCTGATACACAGAGTTTTGTTGTTCAGTGCGCATGCTCGCTGAATTCTACTCTTTCGTGAATTGACTGAAATTTGCCCTATATGCACGGTTACTTCCTGGTTTTAGATAACTGAGCTCAGTAATTTCCGGTCAACTATCAAAATCAACTGTGCCATAAGGGGAGTGTTCTTTGCTCGGTTTCTCTACATAATTCATTCACAATTTGAAGAAAAGTTTTGTTTGTCTAAGACAGGGGTGTCAAACTCAATTCCTGGAGGGCCGGAGCACTGCAGAGTTTTGGTCCAACGCTGCTCCAACACACATACACAAACAGAGCTGTGTGCATTAAGTGATTCAGACTAAATTCAGAGTAACAAAACTACAGAAGCAAGAAGTCTGTTGGCTGAATATATTTAGCAGCTTCTACAGTTAAAGATAAAACTTAAAAATTTAGTTTTTAAATTAGGCTAAATCTTTAAATATTTCAAAATATTTAATGCATTATTATTTAATTGTTATACCATTAATAATTAACTTATTTAATTTGTAGTTAACTAGTTTTATTAATTTATTTAATTTGCAGCTAACTAGTTTTAATAATTAACTTATTTAATTTGTAGTTAACTAGTAAAGTATTTAAATAATTTACCCTTCTAGGCTGTTGGTGTCTGAGATTATTTATTTATTTTTTAAATTACCTGAGACTTAGTGACTTCCTGCACTTGATATACTTTATACTTCAGTATAGTAAAAGTACTAAAATTTGTTATAATAGTAATTTCATATTAAACCCAAATGAAGATGTGAAAAAAACTGGGGAGTTGAAATGACAACTGCTAATGAGTGATCCTCTGCTGTCATCTAATGGTTAAATGGTAATTTCATGTCAGTTTCATCTTAAATTGGTTTCCGCCAGGAGACATTTTTGGCACATTTTTTCATGTCATCTTTATGAATGAAAAGTGAATCTTTAATGTGAATTTTACTGCACAGCTGTAGAGTTGAGAAATGATTAAGGCTATAAAATATTAAAAGTGTTTTATAAATGTGTTCATGTCTATGAAGGTCAGTTATTGATTATCAAGAATACAATTATGATGTTGTTTACGAGATAGCATCGCTAGCTAGCTAACGTTAGCCTAAACAGTTACGATAGTGTTTAGTTGTCAGCATTTAGATGTACAATTATGTGTAGGTACTCTCCTGGGATTACCAGGCTCGGCATATAAAATTATATGTTGTTAAATGTTAAATAACATGTCAATGCCGCTATCATTATTTACAGTGTTGCAATTATTTTGTTTCTCAGTTTCTGACAAGAACGAGGCAGGAGAGGTCTCTGTGAGGGTCTCAAGAGTCTCTACCTATATATACCACAACATCAAATGACGCTTTACCGGAAGTTTACGAGCTGGCTTATCTTAATGCGGAAGTTCTAAAGAACACTCCGTGCATATGGTCAATTGTCTCATCATAAACAACGAAGTGCAGATGTACGTGCGATGTAAGTATAAGAGATTTATTCATCATACAGTGTAGATAGCTTCATTGATTATAACGGGAGTGTTTTTTTAAAGTGCATAAACTCGCGCTAGACTGAAGTCAGTGATGTTCTTTGATAATGTAAATATTCTTTGCTCGTTTTCTGTAGCTGCTGTTTGAATAACTGAGGAAATGTAAGCATTATAATTAGTAGCTTACAATGGTTTTTATCAAATTGTCATCATGTTAAAAACAAATTCAGTCATATGAAAAATATTTTATGACGACATCCATATGCTGCTTGACTAAAAAGATATAATGTGTAGTTAATAGATTACACTAACATTAGGCTACTTGTAGCCTTACCCTGGAGTTGGTTCACTCTCTGGCTATGAAATTCGGTAAGTAAATAAATAAATTAGCATGATAATATTGTGTATCGGCGATCTCAAAGGCTGACGATAGGACGAAATGACTGGAGCATATCGCCCAAAACTAGCACAAATACATACATTTATGATGTTTTTTTTAAGCTTGGCACTGGCAGAATAAATCACCATCCATTGTTGTTAAATGGAAAATAGCAGCTCAAACATTCTGCTTAAAGGGGTCATATGATGCTTTTTTAAAGATCATTATTTTGTGTATTTGGTGTAACAGAATATGTTGACATGCTTTAATGTTCAAAAAACACATTATTTTTCAAATACTGTACATTATTGTAGGTCCTATATGTATCTGATCAACACTCTCGCCAACAATGTGCTCCAGATGCTGGATATACAGGCGTCTCAGCTACGCCGCATGGAGTCGTCCATCAACCACATCTCACAGGTGCTTTTTACTGCTATACAAACATCTGCTAGTTATACTTGTTGAGATGAGCAGGGTTGTACAATGCAGTTTTGTTTCCAAATTATTTTGCTTCTACATTCAGTTAATTTTCTAAAGCAAGCATCACTATTAAAATATTACTACTTAAAGTAAAAGATTTATTCAAATCAATAACCCTAAGTATTAAACTTTGGCGCATTGCAGTACTTTTATATTAATCATCTAATTTACAGTTGACAGTATTTTATTGTCAACTGACTTTTGATGTGTTTCCATGTACATCTCTGCGTACATCAATTCACATGACAACATTCCTCCACAGACGGTGGACATCCATAAAGAGAAGGTGGCCAGGCGAGAGATTGGCATCCTCACCACCAATAAGAACACTTCCCGCACACACAAGATCATTGCACCAGCCAACCCTGAGAGGCCTGTACGCTACATCCGCAAGCCCATCGACTACAGTCTGCTGGATGACTTAGGCCATGGAGTAAAGGTAGGGATGAAGCCAGTCTATACGTGTGACCAACTTGAACCTGATGCTAAACCTGCATGGGAAAGTAATTCGCCCTCGCACAAAATTCCCAAATTTCTATTGAAATGACTCCATTTCAACTGTGAAAATTTGCCAGAAAATAGTAGCTTTGTGTATTTTATGTAAAGCAAATATTGTTGGTTTTAAAGAATATGTTTGTAAAATGTGAAATAAAGTAAATTCATATGAGATTTTCCTTTACATAAAGGGCCATGTTAAGATCACATGACCAGCTGAATACTACTCACTTTATTTCTGTCTCTCCTCTGTTATAGGACATTTTGCCTTGTTAAATAAATTAATCATGGCTGACTGTGAATAGCTTTTGCGCAATTCTACTTTCACACCGCTAGTCAGCTGCTATATCAGCCTGCAAATCATAAACAAAAAATTATTGTGCACCTTTTAATAATAGTAATATTGCCAAATACCAGTATACTGTGCATCACCAGTTAATATGAATGTATTTTGCTTTGGATCATATGGACTGCGCTGCCTAACTAGCTGCTGTGTTTGTGTTTGCATGTGTGTGAGTTTCCCTTTACTCTTCACACTAACTGTTTGCATCTTTTCTCTCCTCACCTCTCTTATTGCCTTCATTTCTGAGTGTAGTGGTTACTAAGGTTTAAGGTAAGGACTCAGTTGGTCTTTGGTTGATGTGTGTTTTGTGTATGTGGTGGAATGTCCGTGTCTTTACATCTGTTCTGATTCAGAATAATGATTTTTGACACTTGCCCCACACACAGGTCAATGCCCAGAATATGAAAGTGGGTACAACTCCACGCACAGCTGCCCCGACCCAGAAACCACCCAGCCCTCCCGGCCCGGGCAAGGGAACCCTGGGGTAAGTACATTTGCAAAGGCTTTGTTTTTTTTTTTTGTTTTTTTACTTTTATCTTGATGATATTTATAAAATGAAAGTAATAAAAATGACATTGCATTTCAGCCTTCAGGTCTCAGAACATTTCAGCCTGATCTGTATTATTTTTGTATCATATTTCAGTGCAAAAAGCTTAACTTGCATTATAAATGGACATCTAGGAGTGAAAAAAACCGATAAAAATGCATGAAATGATACTATTGTACACGTGTTGATTTGGTGGTGGAAAAGGAAATTCTCTCTGTCACTTCTCTCCATCTCTTATTTAATCTCTATTCCTGACAGCAATGCTCGCACACATCTGTGAATGTGTGTATTGTAGTTAACAGTTTTGGCTTGTTCTCTGTTTAGGGACTGACACACTGAAGCGTTCTGGATCTGTGTGTTTCAGTCTTTGTGCTTTTTTCTGCCACTGCAGGTCACTGGGGAGAAAAGACTGTCATGTTGTGTTTGTGATGTGTTGTTATTATTTTATGTCATTGAGTTTTTACAGCTGATGTGTGTTACTGTTAAACCTCCACTGTGTTCTTCCCGCTCATGCCTATGTCCACGGCCCCAACCCCTCACTGTCACCATTGCAACACACCGGCCAACCACAAGCAATGCAGACAACCTTCTGTAATACAACACAACAGGCTCCTTTAGATATATACCGACACATGACAGATTCCTGCTAGTATGGGAAGCCAAAAAACCCAAAAGTGGGATGAAACAGCGCGGTATTAAAGAGTTCATGCCACGCCGTCCTGCCATAGGCACGGTTCAATATTACATTTATGTACCATTTTAAATTTGAATTCTATTATTAAATAGGCAAATATCCTTAAATGTAAAGTTTACCTAAAATATGCCTTGATGAATGAAACCATAAAACATTTTTAATTCTAAGAGGACAACAGTATTAAAGTTTCTGTTCTGAACAGCTCTTTCCGTGGATACTATCTATCTATCTATCTATATATATATATAGATATATATACACACAAGCTTCAAAGTAGTTAACACTACTGTTTACATGTAGTAATATGAAAGATAATAAGCAAATGAAATGTATTAACTTAATACTAATCATTATTTTGTTATGTGCAGGGAAAAGCACATGAACTTCTGTGGAGCAGTATGAATAGAGTAATGTTTGAGCTGTGCTGTTTTAATTGATCAGCACCACGCTGGTGAGATTAGATAACGCTGTCCTGTCCGTTCGGTGGTGCTAGCAAACACTTCCTCCCTGCGCTGTCGAGTCGGTCGCGCCGCTCAGTCCATTGAGCCAGGCTGTTTCATGCGACTTTTGGTGTGCCTGGCTTCCCATATGCTAAGCAAGGGCGGTATGACAATATATACTATACAGCTGTAATAATGTATTGCTGGTAGGGTGTTCTACATTAAGTTACATTATTTACCCATGAGAGCAATGAGGAAACATAGAGTAATGTAAAAATGCAGTGTGGGTCCCAAACAGGTTAAGATAAGGAAAAGGATTTTTGCTAAGTACAGTTGATAGTCGTTTACATTTGCTGAGCTACATTACTATTATAGACTGAGCTACATTTCTGCATTATTTATTATAGACTGCTGTGTGCTTACACAGGTGTATGTCTGTCAGCTATTTAACAACAGTGTGTATTTGACTCCGCTCGCCAGAATTTAGAATCTATTTGTTTTATAATATTTTATTTACTATTTCTTATTTTGTGTACAAAAAGCTGACTTTTGATCAAATTTGTTATGAATAACCATATCTTTTGGTTTGCATCCATCTAAATAAAAAATAGAAATTCATATTAGATGAAGATAAAGATTAACCAGTATTGCTTTTTATGACCAATACAATACAGATTATTTTTGTGTTTAAGTATCTTAAGTATCTTATTTATTTCTGCTTTTTATGTGTAATGTATACAGCAATTTTATATAAAACAAAAACTTAATAATAATAATACATTTGTTTATTAACTAAACAATAGAAAATCGCATTTAGAAAATGTCATTAATAACAAATAATGTTACATTAAATAAAATGATTTCATTCTTTCTCTGTGTCTAACTGTTAAGATAAAATGCTACATATTTCTCACTTGAGAATGAACTAACACTGTTATTTCTTGTTGAATGCATAGTGGTGTGACATTTATTGGTAGACTCTATTAGAGAACCACTAACTGAAAAGTAGAAAAGTGTAAAAAGTATTGGTCAAACCAATTTTTGGTCTACTTCTAATGAAGTGTTTTTCATTTGTTAAGTATTTAATTCACTAGATTATCTTAAGGCATTGTAAGGTGATTATTTATTATTTAAACCTATTATTATTATTATTATTTTAATTTAAAGCAAAAATAAAAAAATATAAGCAATACATTCTGTTAAAATATTGATATTGTTGATCCAGTTATAAAATTACTCATACCTTGATCTATTTTGGACACCCTAATCTACAAATAACTATAAATTAGACATGACTCATGAGAGTTTGCTTTACGGTACTGTTGTGATGTTCTAAATGGATTTTTAGTCTACAAGATGTGACACAAGATCTCCCAGTATGTAATTATTGGGGTCTGTCATCAATGGTGTTTGGCTCCACCCCTTAGTGGATATTAAAATATTTTAACCCCGCACCCCTCGGCAGGCGCCACTCCCCTTACCGGACGCTCGAGCCTGTGCGTCCACCCGTCGTCCCTAACGACTATGTGCAGAGTCCAACACGAAACACCGCACCACCCCTGCAGAGCCCGGCTAGAACTGCATCCGTTAATCAGAGGACCCGCACATACAGGTACTCACACACACACCCACGCTTACTCCACACACGCAGCATTATCCCCTGGACAGGCTTAAAAAATCAACTTTGAAAAGGAAAAAAGTTCTCTCACACTTTCTCACCCTCTTTTTCTGCTTCCTCTTTTCCTTTCCCATCTGTCCTTCCTGTCGCTGTTGTTTTGTTTTTAAGCTGTCTTTGTTTGGTGTCTGTCGCAGTGTGACTTTCGGCCAAAGTAACAGTCACTCACTAACTCTCTTTTCTTCTTGCTTAGATCTTTTTTTGGGTTCAAACAGCCATAGCCTACTTAGAGCAGGAAAGAGCTCTTCTTTTTCACTCACCGTCTTTTTCTATTTCAGTCTTTCTTACCGGTATCTCTTTGCTGTTTGCATTCTCAGTGCTCTGATTTTGAGAGTCTCGGGACAAACAGAGAGCACATAATTACATTCTTACAGAATGCTTCCTCCTCTTCTCAGATTCTCACCCACAATTCCCCAATTCATGACCATGCGAGATGTGTATGAAGAGATCTTTCTTTGTAGATTCTATACATTAATACAGTACTGTTCAAAGTTGATTTTCTTTTTTTTTTTTTTTGAAAGAAATTTATACTTTTATTCAACAAGGATGCATTAAATTGATCAAAAGTGACTGTAAAGACATTCAAAATGTTACAAAGGTTTCAGTGTCAACCTTTGAACTTTCTGTTCATCAAGGAATGCTATCAAGGTTTCCACAGAAATATTAAGCAGCAGATTAGTTTTCAGCTGTTTTCGATTTATTTACTCCATTAATCAGGAATTGGACTGAAATTGATCATCAAGGTGGAGTGATTTGTACATTTAGAAAACTCTGTAGTTTGACTCACGGTTAACCAAGCAAAAATTTTTAAATTAAATTCTCTTAAAAATCTTTAAATACAGAATGTGCATTATCCATTGACAAGGCTGTTGATAGATTTAAAACTGACAAAAGAAGGAAATACTTATGTAATTTGGCCAAGTGGACATGAATGTTGGCTGATCTAATCTGGAAATACTTCTGCTTGACATTAGCTGATAATCTGACAACAGCCAAATATTGTCAGAATATTGGGCAGTCTTTTGAATCAGTCTGCCACTATTATTATCAACCGATCTGAAAATGGTCAAATATTCTTCATGACCATTTCATCATTCCACCACTAGTTAGTCTGAATATGACCAAGTATTGGAGATGGTCCTCACTGCAGAACACAAGATCCAGGGGGCGAGGTTGGATCCAGATCCAACTCCTCCCACCTTACATATTCCTAAACCTACCCGTCTCCACCCCCTGATCCCTAAACCCACCCATCTCCACCCCTAAACCTACCATCTCCACCCCCTAGATGTGGATCCAACCCAACCCCCTGGATCTTTGTTCTGCAGTGTGGGGCTACTGAAGTATTGTCTTTATTACCTTTAGTCATCTATTGGTAATCTGAATATGGCCAAAATACCAGCTAAATATCGGCCAGGCCAATTTAATTATTTTATCTGTAGTTATCGGCTGATAATAAAAAAAAGCAGAAAATCTAAAAAAAAAAAAAAAAAATTGATTAGTTAATTGGCCTGGTCAATGAAATTTTGATGAAATGTGCTGAAATTATTATTATTTTTTTGTAAGGGACAGAACAGAATGAATTGTGCAAGGCTGAATGTGAGGCTGTTTTACAGCTAATTACTTTGTTAATGCTCACTTTATTGTGAATGATTCATTCTTTAAACGAAATGTAATAACATGTTCTTCCTTTAAAATTACATTTCTTTTCTGTTGACCATCACTACCTGGTCTATTGAATAATGTAAACCAAACAGTTATTTAGCCCTTATATTAAGTCTGACTCCATTCTGGTACAACTGCTTTTGGGAATCTAGTCAGTTCTCGAAAGACAAAAATTAAGTCCCACCCTACATTTCCCCCCCCCCAGTTCCTTATCCTGTTTGACTCGGAAATACGTGATGTTATGGAAGTAAAAAGTTCATGCCGCGCTGACTCCTGTCATAGGCACGGCTCTTGACCATTGGCAACTGACCTTAACTTGCATGATGTGTTTTGTGTGTGTCAGTAGTGGCAGCAGCGGCGGCAGTCAGCCCAGCAGTCGCAGTAGCAGCAGAGAGAACAGTGGGAGTGGAAGCGTGGGTGTGCCCATCGCCGTGCCAACACCAGCCCCGCCCACCGCCTTTCCCGGTGAGATTCCTGCTCTTTGTGTAATTAAGTATTAGTAAATGAATCTGAGAACTGTCCAAGGTTCTGAAGGAAGTATCATTGTTACTGTATTGAAGGCTATTTCCTGTCCCACTATTAGCGATGATAACTTCTCTTTCTGTTCACTGCCTCTTTATTTCTTCTCTTTTTACTCGCTGCACCTATCCCTCCTCCCTGTGGCCCTGTTTTTCCTTTCAATCGTTCTTCCCTTCAATCGTTCTTCCCTCTGTTCTGTCACTCTTGCTCTCTTCTCCCCTGGGTTTCCTCTCTGTATGGCACACGGGGCTGCAGGTATAACACCTGCCCCTCCCAAACCC